AATATTAAATTATGAAAAAAAAAATAAGGAATTCTTTATAAAATAGGAATTATATAATCAGAAATAATTAAGATATTAGATTAATTAATATGTATTTTGATTTTATTTTACAAACTTTTAAATATATAAAGAAAGATTAAATGAAAAGCAGAATAAGTAAATCTTAATATTAATATATCATACTTAATCATTGGTCTGAGAACATATTTATTATATTAGAATATAAAAATATCCTTGATAAAAATCCTTACAAATGGATATTATGCATAAGGGATAGATACATATCAAAGCAACTTGTCCTTTACCTAATATTAGAAAAAGATAAATGGAACACTTTTTTCAGCAAATTTTCAGTAACCTCTGGTCGTTCAAACCATCGATGACTTCATTTTTTAATTAAAATTCTGGCTAATAGAAATTTTATTTTAAATTGTATAAATCCTGGATCAAAAAAAAAGTACTTTTCAAGGGACTTTTGTGATGTTGACGCGTTTTTCTATTTATAAGTGCAAAAAAGTAATATTAAAGAAAAAAATTTGACTAATGAATCCACACCCAACTTTCTGAATCCATATCCACCCTATACCTCCCTTCTTCCTTTAATCAAAGTTGTTTTCTAGTTTCTTCCAAGCGCTTAACAATAAACAGACTAGTATCCAAAAATCTTTCAACACAATTCGTTAAGCATGTTTCTTCACTACGATCAATTTTATTACTAACTTTACTAATACATTTATCCCAGCATAAATCTGTAAATGTATGAATTGATGATTGTATTCTCATACGTGCATTTTCATTTTCCAAAAACTTTCCTAATTCTTTTTGTGTTGCTTCGTCAAATTCTAAATTTGAGTTTGGCTTTTGAGACAAACTTGACATTATTTTTACTTATGTAACGTAAAATGTAGTAGGATAAAGTGTAATCACAAGAGTTAATTATTTAGGTTTTGTTCTCTTGTTATTTGAGAAAAAAAATTTTTTTTTTTATTTTTAAGATCTGACACTAAAATCCAATCTCTATCTGTGACAAATAATATGTGACAAATAGGATTTCACATCGAAGATTTGTCACTCGATATTGTATAATTGCAAATTTGAAATAAAAAAAATTTATTAATTCTAAATGAACCATGATAAAGCCAACGTATCTCGAAAATATCAATTAAATAAAATATTCAAAAAAAAGTATGCCGGAATATAAAAAAAATGAAACTAATCTTCCTTCAATGTTAATTATCAAATATTACTGTAGCCAAATTATTAATAAAACGGAAAAAAAAAAAAGAAAATAACTAGAAATAATTGTTACTGAAGTTATAGTAAAATTATAATTTATAAACAAGAGATATTTACCAAATACACGTTAAAGTTGTAGTTTTCTTCATAAAGATCATATGGTGATAAAAACTAGGCTGAAGTAATCGAGCTTAAATTGACGGTTAAAAATATTCAATTGCAAGATAAATGTCATACCTTTCTACAAATTTCTGATTTCAATTAGTAAATTTTCTTTAATGCTAAAATGGATTGAACTCTGCAGCAGTATAGATTATTCCAAATTTCTAAGCTCTAGAACCCATCTTCCGTCATAACCTATATATATATAAACTAAATTCTTATCTATCAATTTGAACAATGAGTTATTTAAAAAATATATATTTACTAAATATAAAAATGTATAATAATAATATATCAGTTCTATCACATTAGGTTCGTTAAACGGGAAGCAGCATTATTAGTTTAGCAACAAGTAAATAATAAAATAAAATAAAACAACACACTAATTAACCAAAGAACAAAATGCATGACACATTCATAACGGGTTACCTTGTATGATCACTTTCTGCCCCTGGTTTTGCTACGCATTAAAGCTTTTTCCAATACACGTTTTCCTTCACAATTAGGAAAATTTTTAAGATCATAATAAGAAGGAGCTATATCCAAAAGCCTAAAAATGAATTATAAATGAATTATTCTTAAGCTTATTTATTTTTATTTCTCAAAATATTTATCAAAAATAATTCTTACCATTCAGCTTTAACTTCAGTTACAGTACGAATATAATTCTTGGTTGTAAGAACAAATTCATTATATAAAACCCATTCAGGTTGATGTTTAAGAGATGAAGACGGATGAAGTTGAACAATCTATAATTCAATCAAAATTATAAATACAAAATATTAAAATAAAATACAAAATCAAAGAATTTATCGTTGTATTGTACCTGATTGTCTTTACATGTCAAATAATGACCCGATTTCTCCAAATGAGCTACTTGCATAAAGAATCCTGCTGTCAAAGCTTTCCGTATGTTAAGATAGTAATTACTGTCCGTGAACGGAGTACTGACCAGTTCTTCATCACATCGTTCCATTATACGTTTGAGTTGCTGGCGAACGTTATCGGCCGACTTCAATGATCTACTACTTAAAAAGTTGTCATAACACCAATCTGGGTCTCCTAATTCTAAAGAATATAAGTATTATGATGCGGAGCAACTTTTAAATAACTCATTCAAAGAAACGGTACTCACCGGCTTTATAAGCATGATAAACATTCAATAGCGTTAAATGATCACCCTCATCGTGTGCAAATTTAGCTTTTGCCTCTTCGGCTTGCTTTTTCATATCATTAGGTCGCAAGAAAACATTTGGAACTTGGGATTTTTATACCAAAATAATTAATAATTATCTTCAAGGAATTGTATGAAGTTGATAACAATCATATATCAATCTTACCTGATAATAAAGCAGCTATAGATAAAATTTCATTAGAGCACCTAAATTTTGGACTCTCTATCAACATTTTTGATAATTGCGGATCAAGTGGAAACTCGGCCATTAAAAGACCATCGGAAGTTAAGTCACCTTCATCACTAAGAGCCCCAAGGTAATTCAGAAGTTCAAGTGCTCGCATCAATGTTTCTGGGGCTAATTTATAATAAATATATTATTGAATAAATATTTTGCTTTGTAATAAAAAAAAGTGTGATCAACATTTCAACATTAATATTTAATTAATTACCTGGAGGGTCCATGAAATCAAAGTGTACGAGATCATCTATACCAAGTTTTTTTAATTGGAGAACAACACTACCTAAATTGCTCCTTAAAATTTCAGGATGAGTTTGTTCTTGTAATTCTTTAAGAAATGCTCTTTCGGTATATAGACGAAAACATTTCCCAGCGCGAGTACGTCCAGCACGACCAGCTCTTTGTTGAGCAGAAGCTTTGCTAATTGGACTAACTAGTAACGATTCAACGCGAATACGAGGATTGTATACCTTTTGCTTACTAAAACCGGGATCAACAACATAGACTATACCATCGATAGTCAAGGATGTTTCAGCAATATTTGTAGAAACGATGACCTTACGACCAGGTTTTCCTTCTTTGGTACGTGCTGGTGGTGCATCTTCAAAAATACGTTGTTGGTGTTGAGGAGGCAAGGAAGAATACAATGGAAGAACCTTTAAAGGTCCTAATTCTGTTTGTTTCATTAATTCATCAGCCTCCGATTTAATTTTTTGACAAGCGCTTTCGATTTCTTCTTCACCCGTTAAAAACAACAAAATATCTCCTGGATCTTCACACGCATGAATCTGCATTACTGTGCGGATAGCAGCCTCGAGATAATCCCGTTCAGGTTCCGGGGTATAAAAAATTTCAACGGGATAAGTTCGTCCAGGAACGGTCTGCATGAATGCGCGAAAATAATAATATATTTAGACAATGTGATATAAAAGCTTTAGTTTTCAAAATAATCCTACATACTAGAACTGGTGCATCATTGAAATATCTTTGAAACTTTTCGGCGTCAAGAGTAGCACTCATCACAATTACTTTTAAATCCGAGCGGACTTTAATAATCTAAAGTACGATAAAAATTAAATTACGTTTCTTGAATTAAAAAAGTTTCAATAAATAATTATTTATAAAACTGACCTGTTTCATCAAACCCATAAGGATATCCGTTGCCAAGGTACGCTCATGAGCTTCATCGAGAACAATTGCTGAATATTTTTCCAACTTAGGATCATTCATAGCTTCACGAAGAAGCATACCATCAGTTAAATACTTCAAAATAGTCTTGGGACCGGAACAATCTTCAAAACGTATGTTGTATCCTACTTCCTCGCCAAGTTTCACATCCATTTCGTCAGCGACACGCTGAGCAACTGACATGGCAGCAACTCGACGAGGCTGTGTGCAGGCAATCTGCTTTTTCTTCAAATGAGGAAGAATGTCATAACAAAGAAACTGTGGAATTCTAAATATAACAATCATTGTTTATTATAGATGTATTTTTTTAAAAAAAAGAGATCCAAAAAGAAACGAGATCTTACTGCGTTGTTTTTCCAGATCCGGTTTCACCAACGAAAACCACAAACTGGTTGTTATGGACCAGATCCAGAAACTCTTGTCTTTGCGCATGTACCGGCAACTTGCGACGACTTTCTAAAATGTCGTGATATCTTTGACCAAATTTTTTGTTATTAAATGGATTATAAAGACCTTCTTCTGCTTTTCGAGCTTGGGTAGCAGTAGTTTTTCCTGGAATAAAACCGTCAAGCGTACTTATTGCTTGATTTGGACGAACAGGCTTGTTTAAATGTGCCAAGTAAGGATTACTTTCAATAGCTTTATCTTTAGATGTTTCTTCAATTCTTTGCCGTTTATTTAAATGTTCGTCCTGTGTACTTTTTGTTTGATCAGATTCAATATTTCTTTGATTGGAGACTTCAACACTTTCTACGTTACGCTTTTTGATCTTGCTCTTGGTTTCCATAGTTATGCGATTTATGCAATTTTTTTAATTTTTTTTTCCTCAAGATTTATATATATAGGAACTAAATCAAGATCGTCACGTTGCATATCACAATGTGATAATGTTGTCTTATAAAATGTATAAATTGTTATAAATATGATGCCTGTCGGATAGAATTATTTTCGATCAATTTCAGATTCAACTTTTTCACGCGATCTTGTCGAATAAGAACAATGGTTGCCGTGTTACAACCAGAACCTTTGTCAAACGTAGTAGAATCGGTGACTTTTTTAGAAACAGGAAGTGGGATTATAAACAAAGACGAAGAATCTAAACCACTTGTTGGTATTATATATCCACCACCGGACATAAGAAGTATCCTATTTACTATGCATTTTTACTTTTATAATAGGTTTATAGCTTTTGCTTTTATTAAGTTTGACAAGATCTTTAAACCAATTCAGCATCGAAATAGGCAAGCCTAACAAGGTGCTGTTCTCCGACAGATCAAACTAAGCAAAACAAGCATTCATTATGATAGATAATTGTATTTTGCTTGTCCTTAACTTTTATCAATTTTTAGATATTGTTGATAAAACTGCCATTTTTGTCGCAAGAAACGGCGTTCAATTCGAAGAGCGTATTCGGGAAAATGAAAAACACAATGCAAAGTTCAGTTTTTTAAACCCTAACGATCCGTATCATGCTTACTATCAATACAAAATTGCTGAAACTAAGGAAGGAAAAGGTATGGATTTTACTGCTCGTTTCTTTCTTATGAAATAAGCCAATTTAATTATAACTTTTATAATTGTAGTCCCTAAAAAAGTTGAAGCTAAAGAGATTGTTCAAGAAGTTAAAGATGTTCTTCCTCCACCAAAAATACCACCAAAAGAACCACCTTTTTTTGAATTCATGACCGATATGCCTGCTATTTCCGCACAAGATCTGTATGTTGACAATCTTCCTGTTTATAATATATATATATATATATTTATATGTTAACACCTTTCCTTTTCAGGGACATTTTGAAATTGACAGCTCAATTCGTAGCACGTAACGGAAGACAATTTATGACAGCTCTTTCACAACGTGAACAGCGAAATTATCAGTTTGATTTTTTACGGCCAAATCATAGTTTATTTAATTACTTCACAAAGTTAGTAGAGCAATATACAAAAGTATTAATTCCACCAAAAAATTTAAATGAAAAATTGAGATATAATGTAGATAACAAATATCAAATTCTTGATCGTGTAATGCAACGAGTTGAGTATGCTGCTTATCAAGAGGAAGAAAGGAAAAAGGCTGAGGAGAAGGAAGATCAAGAGAGAAGTAAGAGTTTACTTTACTTATAAAATTTTTAGAAGGAAAAGTTAGATAATAATTATCTTATTTTATCCATCTTTCAGTCGCATACGCCTCTATAGATTGGCATGACTTTGTTATAGTGGAAACTGTAGAGTTTACGGAAGCTGATGAGACTATCGATCTTCCACCTCCAATGAGCATTATGGAACTGGAAAATATGACTCTTGCTCAAAAGAAGATGGCTTTGGTTAATTTAGCAGAATCTCAACCAGATGAAAAAGCTGGTGAAATTGATATGGAGGTTTGTACTGAATGGAATAAATACACCCTTTAAGTTTATTTTTCCTAATAAAGATTTTTGTATAGATGGACGATGATGTAGATATGGAAGATGATGATGCAGAAAAAGAAGACCAAGAGCAAGATACAACACCAGCAGTTATGGAGATTAAACCACCAGATGCTTCTGCGCCAATGAAAATTGTTAAAGATTATACTCCTAAAGGTATATTTCATTTATAGTTCCTTAATTTTTAATTGGTTTCATGATTTATGTTAACTTAATTTGTTATTGTATTTTTAGCATATGCTCTTAAAACGTCTGTTGACAGACCGACTGTTATTTGCCCTAGATGTAAACAGGTTATACCTGTCGACGAAATGGATGACCATGTTCGTATTGAACTATTAGATCCAAAGTGGAGAGAACAAAAATTAGCGGCGGAATTAAAAAAGAAAGAATCAAATTTATTACAAGAAGGTTTGTATCTTTTTTATATATATATTATATATATATATTAATTTCAATTATTATTGAATTAATTACAAATTTTATTGTTTAGGTACGGATGTTGCAAAAAATCTCAAGGCATTTTCTGGTTATCGATCCGATATTTTTGGTAATGAAGAAACTGAAATTGGACGAAAGGTATTTAAAATTAAAAGTTAATTAATTTTCTTTTTTTATGAGCATTAATACTAATTAGTTAAAATAGATCGGTGAAGAGGAGGAAAAGAAAAAAAGGATCGAAAAGGAAAAGGTTGTATGGGATGGTCATACAGCCTCAATCAATATGGCTACTCAGCGTGCAGCTGCTGGCGTTTCTATTGATGAACAGATCGCTGCAATTCATAGGAGTAAAGGCTTGACAAGGTAATTATCAATCTTTGTGTACAAATTTTTAATTACTTTTTTAATACAGTCTTTCATTTATCTAGCGATAGCGATTCCAAAATCGGTCCAAAGATTCCCCAAGTGCAAGATCATTTGCATCAACATCACCAATTGCACCATCAACATCAACATCAACAAGCAATGCAGCATCCTTCTCAACAACCTCCTGTCTATCCTGGATATCCTACCCATTCTCAAGGTGCTCCGGGAATGCCGTCAGGCCTTCCACCTGCACCATATCCTGGCTACGTATCTTCTTCTGCACCATTTGCCCATCAACTTCCTGGATATATTTCAACGCAAGGTACAAGTTCAACTTCACAACAATCATCTCAAGCTCGTCCACCTATTCCTCAACAAATTCATAGACCTAACCAGCCTTCAGGTATGTCAGGATCTTCTGCGCCAGCTCCACCTTTACCGCTAGCGATGGGACCGTCTCCGCCGGCACCTCAAACACCTCCTATACCTCCAGTTCCGTCATCTAAAGTTGGTCGAAATATCGATGATGAAACAGAATTATCCTATATGACTAAACGACAGAAAATGGACAACCTTATTTCGATTGGAAGTCTTGTTTCCGCAGATGAATGGATAGAATTACATCCTGTAATGTATAATTAATCTATCTTAACCTTACACAATATTTGCATCAATACTAATGTGTCATATAATTAATATTAGGGTCCTATTAATGTGCAAGTTCATTGTCCAACAATTCCTGAAAAACCTGAATGGAATTGTCAAGGCCAAACCATCATTTTAGACAATTTACCATTAAACACATTTGTATCCACTGTAAAGGACAAGATTGCTGCACGATTAAATTTCCCTGCAGGCAGACAAAAACTTATGATTGGAGGCGCGGTAATGAAAAATCAGCTTTCATTAGCTTATTATAATATGGAAGATGGAGTTATTATTGGATTAGCTATTAAAGATCGCGGAAAGAAATGAAATGTTTTATGTTATAACTTGGCAAGTTTGTGTCATTTAATTCTCTAATATATATAAATATTTTTTTTTTATTAAAAAAAAAATCCAATATTTAGGGAACTATAATATATACTGTAAGGTGGCGACATCGCTTCTTTTCACTGGTTACCGGTTAATTGTTGGCTTCGAATTATTTTGGTTGATTGTTTAAAAATTTTAAATTAATTCACATTTTTATTATAAGCGTACTTATTAAGAAAGTTTAGAGGTCCAATGAACTAGGAATTTAATAAAAAGGCGTTTAAATTACACTTGTAATAAATTATTGATTATAATTACTTTAAATATTTTAAAATATGAATCATTTGTTTTGTACAATATAATAATTTGAATTGATAGAAATGTTGGCCAATTTTACAATCAATTCTTTAACATCAATATCATTTCTTGTCCTGCCGTTCTGGATGTAAAAATTTAGAGATGAAAATAAAGAATCAGTTGGTAAAGATTAATAATCATGAATATAAGATTATTTACCAATTCGGAAATCCATAATTCAAAAGCCAACGCATTTTGTTTTTGAATAACCATTAATTCAAGCCTTTCATTATCATCTTGATTTATTATTAAATCAACTTGACGAATACAATGACGCGAGAACTCCAACTCTTTTTCTAAATCTGGCCATTCTTTTACAATAGGATTGTAATTTTGTTGATCTATTGTTTCCTTATCATCAACACACTTAATTTTTATTGAATTATTCAAATATCCTGATAATTTCAACCAGATCCAACCAAATGATAAAAATCTTAAATGGTACCATAATGATTCATGACCAGGGTATCTTAAAATAAGATCTTTTGTAAATTGGATTTCCCTATACCAAAGAATTACAACTAAATTATTATTATTCTTTAAACCTTGATTCTGTAACTGAAGATTAACCCTTTCCAATATATCTTTCCTTGATATACCATGAAGATCACCAAAAGAATTATCATAATATTTGCTTAACCTAATTAAACACCTTTGTAAATGTTGAAATCCGGAATAATCAGATATATTTTTTTGTACCCAACTTTTCATAATTTTTAATTCTTCATCAAAAAATGATTTAGATTGTAACGAGTTGTTTGATATATTTTGTAAAATCCAGTGCCTATACGTCCAAGCGTAATAATTTTTTGGATATAATTCTGCCACACGACGAGATATAAAGATCTCATGTTGCCATGATGAGATATGATCATCAAAAGAAAATTGTTGATGAATCATTAAAACTAACCATTTTCTAACAAGATTTATATAAAATTTGGGTTAATGAGGTATATTAATTAACAAGATTGAACATATAATAATTTTCCTAAAATACCTGTGAAACCAAATCGTTGAATGTTTAGTATGTTTAGGAAAAGTGAATAATAAATCTATAAATTTCAATTCATTTATTGGATCAAGGTGATTACCTATAATGAATTTCTTTCTTTTTTTTTTATGATATGATTATTATAATAATCGATTCGATTTGTCTTTAATTTATAATTACAAGTGAAAGAATGAAACAGAAGTAACAAGTCCCTTGAAATATACCTCGTATTAAGAGCAGAATAACAATCAGCATTTATAAGCAACATACATCTGGTTGACTCTTTTAATAAATTAACGGTATCTTTGGTCTCAGCAATATCACCTCGAGCATTCATAAATATGTCATGAGCATATTTATATATTTTATCGACATATTCTAAAGGTATTCCGAGATTTGACTCAATGAAAAGAAATGGATAAAACTCATCATTCGGTTGTGTACTTTGATATGGTAATAACCCTATTTCATGTCTATAAAGAGAAGGTACTTTTTCAATAAAAAGAGTATAAAAAAAAAAATTTTAAAAATTAAAAACAACTTTACTTTACATTTCATGCTTATCGAGAATTTTGTTTAATGTTTGATATAATTTTCCTACATTCATGTTTTTATTAATCAGAAAATTTCACATCTTTCTCTTATCACTTGATAATCAATCACATGTACTACTATCATTTCTAATTTTGTCCTAAGATGCAAATATTAGGAAAGTCTGCCGAGAGTCAGAATATCTAATCCGATCGACAAAATTGAAAATTGAAATTGAAATTGTGGAAACATCATTTTGATATTACGAAAAAAAAATTTTTTGCTCAAATTAAATGACTACATATTTAGTCTATATTCATCAATTTTTTATTAATTTAAATTGGTAAATTTTCAGAATTCGATAATGCTACTCTTTTCTGCGTTCCCTAGTTTTTTTTATCGTCTCTTTTCGAGCGTATTCAATGCGTGCTTGTAGCTCACCACGCTCTGCCAGAATTCTGATCATATTATATATAAATGGAATGAAGTTATGTTTCCGTAATGAATTTTCGCGCTGAAAAAAATTCAGGAAAAGGTAAGTAATTAGAAATCAACCGATGAAAATAATAAATTACTTGCCTCATATTTTTTAAATTTAATTTTTTCAAATTCAATTTTGCGTAATAAATCATCCCTTTCTAATTGCATAAATTCCAGAGAATTGGTATCATTTGCATGACGGAGTCGTCCTTCAATTTCATCAATTCGGGTTCGATACACTTCGTCGCGATTTTTAATGAGTGCTAACAAATTAAATCGAATTTCCGAGGATGTATAACGCGCCATCCTTTCTTCTATAACGGGGCGAACCTTTTCAAGCCAATTATCTTCTGTACATGGACCTAATATTATACGATATCATGAAATACGTATTAGAAACTTTTATATATATATATATATATATATAATATCTTTTCGGAAAAATGAATTTACCCAAATTAACTGGGCCAGCACTTAACCCATCTAACTCGTATAAAGCTCCTTGAATAGGAACATATGAGATAAAATGAAAAATATCTTCCTTCTCAGAAGAGGATGAACCGGATGAATCCATCATGAACGGATCAGAACGAGCAAAACTATTATGAACACCGCGAATAAGCTCGCTATTGGACATCGCTAATCCTTTGTTCTATATAAAGATATTTAAAGCAAAATAATAAATACTCGAACAATCTATTTGTAGAAAAGGGGGTTTTTTTTTCGAATGATATAAAGCTAAGACAACTCACATCCGGATCAAAGTCTTTAGTGAAATCTTTAAATGATTCTAAATCAGCTCCTAAATTAATCATAGGACAATTCAATAAAATAGATAAAATTGCTTGAGTAGCACATGCATTATGGATAACCTAATAAAAAGATTAATAATAAAATTGATAAATATATTTAATAAATCAAGATGAATTCATGAAAATTATCAAGAAATATTACTTGTTTTGCGAAGTATACATTCTCATCGATACTTAGATCCGCGTCTGGATGTAACCTAGAACTGTCATTACCGCCTTGCCACTTAAAAAGAAAAATCAAACCATAAATTGGTCTAACCAATTATTTAAAGCAGGTAAAATCAATATCACATAGGTTTAAATAATTTAAATAAATCGAAAAAATTAATATACTTTAGATCTTCTAATGCTTGCTCGTCTAGGCTCCAAACTTCTTCGACTTGAGTCCCGTGTACATTAAAAGCACGAATTAATTCTGTAAATACACCTAAGAAATTGGAAGCGTAATTTTTAAGTGTCAAGGACGAGTTGCATTTTGACAAAATATAGGATGATAAAAATACCCTAATAATAATTATAATTAATAATATTATTAGTGAATGTATTTAGGGATAGAAAAAATCTTTTTCAAATAGGTAATAAACTACTAGATCCTTACCGGATCCGATTCTATTAAGCACCATTGACCTATCTCCGACATCATTATAAACGTGAGAACGGAAGCAAAAAAAAATATATTTTTGAATTTTTTGATTGCCTAATTTATAATAAACGTGGATTATTTTATAATCTGTATCACTGTACATCATGCAAGTTAGATAGCAAACAGAATGCCGGGTGAATCGCCACTGAGGCATGGACATTCATCGTGAAATTCCATTTTAAACCTATTTCATTTTCAATTTTTTTCAAAAATAAGTTTTTTTTTTTTTACTAAAAATTTTCTTAAGACACGCGAAATTTATTATTTTTATTTTTATTATTCGACATAATATGGCAGAAGTCCCGTTGTTTCAATTCAGGTCTATTAGCAAGTTCTGGAAAAAAAGTGTAAAAAATGACGAGTTAGCAAAGAAAATTGAGGCATTTTTTATTCCTAATAACTTCTTTTCTAAACACGCGACATTAGAATTCTTTCTTGGTAAGTTTATACAAAGTAATGTTTTGAGTAGCATCTAGTCAATATCATTTTATTGCAAAAAGATTATCGTTCCAATGAAGATATTTTGGGGTTACTCTTTTTTTACATTTTTTTTTTATCTTGAATAAAGGTGAAGGTGTAGGTCCTAATGATGGTCATCGCTTTTTGCTATTATCTGAGGATTCTGTAAAATGCGTTCATGCAGAATTAGAATCCGTTACTTCTTCAACGCTTTTAAATGTTCCAACTCTTCATGCTGGTTCTTATCAAAATGTAGAAGCAATTTTTATTGAATCGCCAAAAGCTTTTCTTAAAATCACCAAAGATACTGATAAACACAATAAAAAAGTTCGTACGGAAGCAAGACTTTGCAAGATGAAATTTAAGTGGGAACAGGCACGAAGCATGTTCAAGGAAAATAGATATTTGTTCGTAGCCGTAGATGTTGAAAGTTATGAAAGAGATCACTCTTGTATTTTGGAAGTTGGATGGAGCATGTTCAATTCAAGAACTGGTTTATATATGGACCGACATTTCTGTACGACTGAATATAGGCATCTGAAAAATGGTAAATTTGTTTCGGATATGAAAGATAGATTTTCATTCGGAAAAACCGTGTGGGCAAATTCGAAAACTATTGCAAATGAAATTGTGAACGATTTAACGGAAGAAAAAGAAAAAGGGAATGTCGTCTTTGTTGGACATGGTGTTGAAATGGATCTCAAATATTTGGAGAATATGGGTGTCAGCGTTTCAGAAGTTATTCAACCTGTAGAGATTTTTGATACAGCTGAAATGAATGCAGCAAGAGTTGGAAAGCCTCACGAACGAATTAATTTGGGAAGGTTATTAGACGAGCTGGATATTGAGAATTATAGTTTACATAATGCAGGTTAGTGATTTAAAATAACTTTTTGTAAAATTCTTATGTAAATAATGTTTAAATCATAACCAATGTCTCATTTGCATAGGAAATGACGCACATTACACATTATGCTTATTTCTTGAATTATGCAAATTGCCTTTTCAACCTCCTGAAGAAATCTCAGTTTCGCAACCTGCTAGCAGTTCTGAATGAAAAGTAGACATTAAATTATAATGATTATAATTCTTTGTAATACTTGCTATTTAAAATCTCGATAAATAAATAATAATAATTTTTCAAAATGGATCTCAGAATAAATATTGATTCATATGATCTATAATTGCAAAATGACAAAATATATTTGTAATATCTATCTAAATTAAAGGTGTCTATTGTTCTATTTCAAGTTCAAACTTTCTATAAAAGATTCTGAACATCTGGTTACTTGTTGAAAATTCTTTTCAAACCCATTGATTCCTCCATAATACGGATCTATGATTATAAAGAATATAAATGACCAATTTGACGAATTTTTTAATTTCAAACTCCTCGCAATAAAATTTTGAAAAAAACCTATACCTTGAATTAAAATTTCCCCTTGCGGGTCATATTCGCCAAATAATTTGACTGAAAAAAGATTTTGTCAATAAAAAAAAATATATATATATATAAAATTCAAAAAATTCAAATAAATAATTACTGATAGCTTTCGAATCTTTTGGTTTCATACTTTGTAAGCTAGCGAGATTAGAATTATCCATGCAAAGTATATAATCAAATTCTTTAAAATCTTGCTTTACAACCTTAAAAGGAATTTATTATTATTTTTTTTTTTCCTTTTTTATTAAAAATATATATATACTAACCTGCCTTGCATAATGATCTACGGAAACTCCATGCTGCTTACATGTTTGAATCGAACGATGATCAGGTGTTTCGCCTAGAAATATATATATATATATATAAAAAAAATTCATAATCTTTTGAAGAATTATATATATTACCCACCAACATGATAATTTCCAGTACCCGCACTATCAATATTGAAACGAGACTCTAACTCTTTTTGTTTAATTATATCCTTAAATACTGCTTCAGCCATGGGGCTATTCAAATATATATATATATTAATTTCACAATATAATTATAAGTAAATAATAAATACAACCGACATACCTTCTACAAATGTTACCTAAAATACAAAAAAAAATAAAAATAAAAAATAATTTAATTACAATATCGAAAATAATAAAGCTACTTCTTTTTAATATTCAATACCTAAGCACACGAACAGTACATTAAATCTTTGTTTATACATCGTTAAAAAAAGGTAAAGACAACAAAGTTCAATAAAAATTTAAAGTTACATGAACGATCGACACGAAATGCATGAACTGCATGTTTGAGACTCCGATATAGTAGTAATCAACATTCAAAATTTTAGATATTTTTAAAAAAATGTATTTATTATTTTATATATGTTTACTTTTTTTAAAAAAAAAATTTTGAATATTGCAAAGATTTGAATATCTTCACATTATTTTTGAACATATACAATAAACCTAATATATCTGGTAAGATTAATAAATATTCTAACTGTTATATGAAAAAAAGTGATTTTAAAATATGCAAATATACAAAATTTACACGTACAAATCAAATAGTAAATATGGTAAATTTTGTAACTGTCCCATCAAAATATTTTTATACAAACAATTGAAGAAAAAAATCCAAAATAAATTCAGTATAAATAGTTTTTCGTTAGTTCGATTGAACGATATGATCATATGCACTAGGTTACACATATATACGTTTCAATATAGTTGAAACGTTATATATCATTATACTTCAATGATTTCATAATTACATGCAAAATATTCATGAAGAAATTAGTACAAATCGATCAACGATATGAAAATTATATATATATAAAATAATAATAATAATATATATATATATAGTTTACAAGAAATAATCAGGTGTTCGACGAGTAACGTGAGGTTCGCCCCTTCTAGGTGCAGGATCAAATTGCAAGCTAAAATAAAAATAATAAGAATTCATCAGCATTTATAATCATAAAAATGCAAATGATTATAATTTCAATAATAAATTTATATGTACAATGTATATTTCAAATGCTCATCTATTTCCATAATGGCAGCTTGATTACCACAACGATAGCAGTAATTTGGAGCACTGAAGATTGTAACAACATTTCTATCTTGCGACCAATTGTATCCCTGAAATAACAAAAATATAAATGCGTGTTTCAGATTCATATTATATATAAATAAATATTATAAGTAAATAAATATTTATATATTAAAATTTACCTCCATAACCAATTGATGAGCTCTAGCAATCAAAGTTAATCCGTTGTTGTGATTAAATGCTTCCGATATATCTTGTCCAAATGTATATCCAGCACCTCTAGGCGAAATTCCCCAACCACATCGATCATCCGGATCGGACCATAACAAATCGCACATAGGTCCTTCATGAGGGACTTCTTGAATTCTATCCAAAGATCTAATATGGTCCAGCGTATCAATCGATGGAGACAAACCGCCATGAAGACAAAAGATCTTAAATTTATTAAAAAATTTTTAAAAAAAATAATAAATATATTTATTTAATTTAATCATTATAATATAAAGAAACTAGTTAATAAAAATTTATCAACCAACCTGATCATCAATTAATGCTGTCAATGGTAAATAGTCGAACAAATCGGTGAAAAATTTCCACACATTTGCATTGCCATATTTTCTAAGGCATTCATCATAAAACCCATATACCTGGGTTATTTGCCTGGATTCATGATTCCCCCGAAGAATTGTAACTCTATCTCTATATCTAACTTTGAGTGCAACGAGTAAAGTTACAGTTTCAACGGAATAATATCCACGATCAACATAATCTCCCATAAAGAGGTAATTCGTATCGGGTGAATTACCACCGATACGAAAAAGTTCCATAAGGTCATGAAATTGACCATGAATATCTCCACAAACTGTAACAGGGCACCTTACGGGTTGAACATTTGATTCTTCCATGAGAATTTCCCGAGCCTAATTCAAAAAAAGAAAAGGGGTTTGTAATTTTATAAAATATTTATATTTCACACATTCAATATTATTATTAGATATTTGAAAGGAATTAAATCTGTAACAAATTTTTCAACAAGTTTAAAAAAATAAAATTAATAAGCGAAAAGTAATATATTTTCTAATATATATTTCAAAATAAAAAAAAAACGAGTTTATCAAAAAGTTTCAAGAGAACTAAAATGCATTACTCAAAACAGATGCATAAGATGATAATAAAATGAATTGCGGGGCCACTTAATTCGAACATCAAACTACCTTATCGCACAATCTCTTTACATCAGCTTCTGATAACTGTTTACATTGCATGAGATGTTGAATCCAGCCATCAACGTCTGCAAAATCTGCTGTAATTGCCATTGGACGTAAAAAATTCAGAGCGTAAGTAAGTTTAATTTTGTATAAAGGTACGATTGAAGGCTGATGCACTTTGGGGCAAAACCGTGTAATAGTTGTTCAAAGAACAAGCCTTCAAAGATATTACTTTGTTGTCTAAATCAATTTGATTCGTTAAAATATTTTTGAATACGATTTGGCTAGCTGTTATGTCATACAACATAAAAGCATAAAAGAAAATCCACTTATTGGGCAATAAAACGTGATATCTAATCTCACGTGATCAAAATGTCTTGCATCATCCATGAGCAAAATCACGTTGAGCAACTGTTTGAAATCAACATCGCGTCGTCGTTTTATGATTCGCTTCTTCACTCGCAACGTAATTCGGTTTTTTTTGGTAAACTAGCCAACTAATTTCGAAGCGTTTATGTCAGGACAGTTTGGAATAGGTTTTGGACACAATTTCATATGTCCAAAACCTTGTCCAAAATAAAAAATGTGTCCAAAACCCATCACTGGTTTATGCTGCACAAAACCTGAGCTTACGGTCACATGTCAGGAGACATGATGGACACACTAGCTGAAAACTCAACCTTCTCTTCATTTTGTGCATATAAAAAGAAATACAAAAGTCCGTTCATTTTCAAACACATGCACGTTTATATTATGAAATGGAAAATAAAGTTATTGAACCACAAATGCAAAAAAATGGTCGGTCTTCATTAAGCAGGATCGAATCGTAAAGTAAGAAAAAAATTATTCCTTGATTAAAAAAATTTGAATGAAAAAAAAAAAAGTATTCCCTATCAATTTAATTTTATTTTGTTAGAAAAAATCGTATCTGTAGTTGAAGAAATTCTTGCCTATGGTGGTATTAAATTTTGTCGATACATTTTTTATTTATTATTTTGTTCAAAATTTGATTTTGTAACTAGTAAATTATTAAAATATTGTCACCCTCCACTTTTCCCATTTTACTAGGGAACTTGGAATTTTTTTTTTCGAAGTAAAATAATATTTGTCACGTAACAAGTTTAATTTCTTAACGTCGTAATGCCGGCCAAAGTCACGCGGGGCAGGGCATAAAATAGTACTGTAAAAAAAAACGAGATCTCGTTTATTTTGTATACGTAATAATAATTTTGATGATATTGCCGAACCTGCTGAACCTACAGATAAACTCAACCAATCCATAAACCTTTAACTCTCAAATCTATAGCACGGCATTATCAACCTTCTAAAAAATTATTTGTTAAAGTTGATAGGATTAGATGATATAGATTTATTAGAATTCGATTTTGGTCGTGCTTTAGAAATTTGGTTCGATTCAAGGTAAATTTTTTATGCAACCGGCGGAAAAATTGATATCCTATTTTACGCCCTGTGACAAATCTTGTGGCGATACTGGGTTAAAAACGAATATCTGCCACATTTTTAATTTCCTTTTTTGGGATTTCGTTCTTTGTAATATAAAATTCCCCTAAAAATCTTTTTTTTTTTCTCTTTTTTCAAGGAACTTTTATAGCAAATGAAAGAAAGGTCGTCAACGAAATGACAGTTTTTTTTTCTCAGAGCCCATTATGAAAAGGTATGTTTTTAACATATAATGTTAGCAAGCCCTTGGATTTGTCCTTTGAGCGAGTGAGAACTGCCTCGAAGTGTTGCGTCTTCGCCTAACATAAAACTCGAATCCAGGGCGCTTATAGGAAATGACTCGGCATGATCTTTGCTAACATGGTTATAGATATTTGTGTTGCTATTAAAAAAACTTTAGATACGTCAGCTTTTTTTTGGAAATTCAAAAACTTACGCTCAAACTTCCTTGGTTAAAAAAGTATGTTTTTACATACATTGTTAGTAAGCCCCTGGATTTGTCCTTTGTGTGGGTATGTACGGTTCATACTGCTTCGAAGTGTTGCGGTCAACGCCTAACATAAACTCGAATCTAGGGTAAGCTCCTGGATTTGTCCTTTGTGAGAGTATAGCGGTTCATATTGCCTCGAAGTGTTGCGGTCGACGCATAACATAAAACTCTAATACAGGTCGCTTTTAGGATATGAGTCAGCACGATCTTTGCTAACGTTATTTTAGATTTCTATTGTCTTAAATGTACATATGGTCATTTCTCTGTAGATTTTGAACTTACTCCAAAATCCCTGGTGATGAGAGGTATGTTTTACATATATTGTTAGCAAGCCCCTGGATTTGTCCTTTGAGCGAGTGAGAACTTACTGC